TTTGAAGCAACCGTTCTAAGAGATTTTTATAGATAATGCGATAATATTTGTACTATTAAAAAGGGCTTTTCTTGCTCTTTCTAACACATATCATATTTCAATCAAATCGCCAGTCGGATGAGAGTGCAGATCTATAATTCCCAGATGCGCGGGACACGTTCTCGGACAGAAAAATGTTCTTGCTTGAAAATCTCCACAATATGCTCTGCAAGTCAAGTCCTTATACTGGTTACGGAATAAGGGTGAAACAGTTTAGTATGAGAACGTCTTGCTAGTAAAATATGTGCCGAAGAAGCACTAACAGAGTCCAGCCTCCATTTACTTTTCACTCCTTGCGGCAAATGTAAAAATTTTATAATTTGAGAGTAGGCATACATGTGCTAAAACGAGGGAAAAACGGCTTCCTCGGCACCGAACACCCTATGGGCACTTTCAGGTTGTAGAATGATCTTCGAAATTTTCTCTATCTACCCATGACTACTTAATGCACGTCAGTTCTCATAAGGGTGCAATGCCATCTCACAAAAGACAGACCTGAAGAAGAACGCAGTAAAGTTTTTGACCTTGCTTCTTCTCTAACAGGGTTCCTGCAAACTAGCATTTTTCTGATAGCTAAAAAATTGCTTAACATAAAAATCAAGAATGTGGAAAAAAGTTGATTTTGAAAGAAGTTATGATTGAATTCGAAAATGAAAAGTCGGGCAGAACTTGTGCAGCAGCCATAATTTCTTCATTCCTTACACTTCATAAAAATATCACATACACACCCGAAACTTCCTCACCGTCGAAAAGTGTGAAAGCCCTTCAGATAGACTTTCCTGAACTTTTTCAAACCAAAACTTAAGCAACAACCGACTGATTGGTTTTAACACCCTGTGTCATGCGACGCAGCATCAAAGTTTTGTTCTAGAACCAAAAGAAACGCGCAATTTCTGCTCTTTTTCTATCTCTCCGATTTGTATATCCAAAGAAATTCGTTGACACTAGAAAAAATTACCATTTTCAAAAATTTCGGTGCAAAACTCATGGGCCAACCTAGTTCATTCAGTTAAGAAGTGGTATTACTTGAAAGCCTCAGCAACTGTTCTCCACACACTTCAAGAAAACTTAGTTGGAAATGTTAAATTTATGATTTTTCTGCTTTTTATGCCAGGATGAGTTGACAATAACGAGATACTTGCGACAACAATCTAGCGGCAGTATTTGAGGATCAGTCAAGTGCAAGTACAATTTTTGCTTGCCTCATTTATGAACGGCTTCTGAACTTCCGACATAACCAGAATGCATCAAATATAAAAACTGTTACCTCCTTCAGGTACTGGAGCAGACGATATTCGTCAAAGCTGGGCTCTACGACGGCTACGGTTGTCAGAAGCAAAGCAGTCTTGGTCAGGAGCATTGAAACTCTACGAACAATGCCTTTCGAGGATCAATAGCGAAGTCGTAGTGGGATTACGGCTAAATCCTTGGGGGACTACTTGGAGTGATGGCGATGGACACCGGCTGCTATTTGTCACAACGAACAGATTAACA